GAAATGAGGGAAAATGTGCTTTAATTCGAACTTCACACATCTCACACACAGTTTCTCGGCCAAAATGCGAAAAGTAACTAGGGGCAAACAGAACAAATCCCAGCGATATCGTTCTGTCAGCAACAAAAACAGATGCAAACAGCGCTACCTGTACTTTTTTACGAAAAACTGCTAGTATTTTCAATCTCAAAAAGCCTCATTTTTCCCATTTTTTTAATGCGTTTTGGGCTGTGTAACAGCAGTACAAACGCATATTGTCACGGGGTTGTTTGTGTGTGTGTGTCCGCAGCAACTTGTCCGCAACTTTCAACTCGGAAACCGTAAAAGCTGAAAATTTAGAGGAACGTTCCCTGTCCACGTGTGACCCCGTAAATTTAAATTCAGCTTCCCCGTACCCGCGGGTAACACGTATGGCCCCGTGAAAGTTTTTTATGGGTAAATTAATATTTCGGAACCACGGAGTCTACGAGGTTGAAATTTTACAGTGATGACCCCCTGCCCACGCTCAACCTTGCCCATCCAAATTCAGCGTTCCCGCGCTCTCGGGTACCACCTACGGGCTAGTGAGAGTTTTTACGGGTAAATTATTATCTCGGGAACCACGGAGTCCAGGAAGTTGAAATTTTAGGGTAATGACCCACTGCCCACGCTCAACCTTGCCTATTCAAATCCAGCGTTCCTGCGCTCTTGAGTGTCACTTACGACTTCGTAAAAATTTTGGCGGTTAAAATATTAACTTGGAAATCACGGAAAGATATTCACCCTTCAAGGTTCGAATTCAGCTTTCATGGCTGGTGCATGAAATTTTTAACCGTTTTCCAATTTTTGAACTATTTTTGCATAGACTAAAGTACAAAACAGTGAAAATCATTAACAGGCAATCGCTCGATGGGCTGAATTGCACAAAACGCATGATCGCACCGGCTATCTGGTGCGCGTTGCTATTTATTTTACAATTTTTTCTAAATATGCCCCACTTTTTTGAATCTTTCTAATCGGCTATACTGGTAAATTACGTCACTTGTAACAGAATTGCGAATGAGTAATTGCAAGAACTACTGGATAAGTCCGGCAGTGACAACAGCTTTAAACACGTACGATTGGGCAGAATGTTAAACTTACGGCAAATAGCAACAGCAATAGCAGGTGCAAAAACACTTGTATCCGTAGTACTGGACGATGCAGCGGACTGTTTCAACGCATCCTGCAACGCGCTCCTCACTGCTGCATTCATGTCTATCTAAAACAAAGCAATTAATTGCAAAACAAACGAAACGAAAAAAATAAATTCCTAACCCTAATCACACCTTATACTATCTGTGTTTATAGCTTAGGCATGAAACTCAGGCAGATAACTCTTTGCATAATTCTTTTATATGCTATATACGGTTTGAACCACATTTAACGACCCCACAGTCTTTCCCAACATATTCCATTCCACCAACCGCACCCCCTCTCCCTCGCCTATTAAAAT